CACACGTGTGTGAGGGCCTGGCACCAAAGCTCTAGCTCTGGTGCGTGGGTTTGGGATTCCAGATTTTGTCCTGCACGTTTGGGGTGTTCCTGATGTACGTCTGGATGTGCTCTATCTAAAGATATAGCTGTGCCTGAACTTTTTGGCACTCATGAGCCTTGTGGAGGCATTTTTGACCTAACAGCCTGAGTGGCCTTCAGTATCTGTAGTGCTTTGCAACAACGAAGCTTGAAAGCTCCTTGTTATTGAACAAAGATCTTGGACAGGCATAAAATGACATAAGTAACTCACAAGTGTCATACTTAGGGCCTTGTGTCAACTGCAAACTCTACAGCAAATAGACAACAAAAGCTAGGTGCCTGGAGAATAAAGAAAAACGTGTTAAAAGCCAGCCTCTAAATACCTGCATATCCAACCACTGTTTGTGCCTTCCAGAAACACAGCCTCTGCCTCACTGTTCACTTGCACTTGCTTTTATCTGTCTGTTTACGATTAAAGTGGTGACCTGCAAAGAAGTATAAGTCCAGCACGTTAAGCGTGTGATTCCGTGAAGTACTCTGAGATCTAAACTCCACATTCCTTGTCCCTTGTGAGTTCACTGGTTCACTTGGTTGTTTACCTGGTGTATATACATTTCTCGTCTGTACATAGGTGTTCTTGGTTTGTATCAGGAGGGTGCATTGACATCTGTCTGATGCTAGACTGGTGAATAGGAAGAAGGTCCTGTCTCTGGCCTGTTTGTGGAAGCTGGGATGATGAAGGCACTGCAGTGGCAACGTGCTGTGGTACAGGGTTGAAGCTCCAGCCCGTGTCTGGTAGTTTTAGAGCAATTGGAAGGGTTACATGCAGAGTTCTGGTAAAGTAAGTGTGAGCAGCGTTAAAGAGGGGGCTGTGCAGAGGGGTGCATGTTTTCAAAATGTCCTTTAGTCTAAAAGCTGGGTAGGGGAGGGACAGCTGGGGATATTAGGGCCATAGTTTGGTGGAGGAATCTTACCTTTGTTTTCTCCCTTTGGAAGGCTTTGCTAGTGAGATTGCATGAAAGCTTCAACTCTTACACCGTTTCTTCTTTTCCTCCACATTCTTATAACTTCATCACACTTCAGCCTTTCAAGCCAAAAGTTTTGAGGCCGCCTAGACGCTCGAGTGTGAAGATTTTTATATGGGGAGGTGGATTCTAAGAGTTTAATGAAAAGGGCATAGTCATCTTTTGAGAATCAGTAGGAGCCTTATTTTGACTCGCACACTTTGTAAACTGAGGAAACGAACGTTAGGAGCTCTGTGAAGTTCTGGTAGGGGACTAGATGGAGACAGGCAGCCACTGAGTGCCCTGGCTTGTGCAAGCCTGGGTTTTAGAATCTAGAAATTGAGTTGCCTTTCATTCCCTGTGCTCTCTAAATAAGAAAGCTGCTGTGAGATTTTTAAGTTGGCATCTCTGTTTAACTCCTGAAGTTTGCAGTTGAATCCGAGGGATTCTTGGACAATTGTCAAGTTTATTTGGGAAATGCATCTCATTATTACATGAGACTTTGTGTTCTTATGGAATCAGGTTCACTTTTATGGTTTTGATGTGGAGGCTAAGCAAATAATTTTAAAAATCAAACCAAGCAAAACCTCTAAAAACCCCAAACGTGACATTCTAAACAAAAACTCCCTCTTGACTCAGGTGGGGTGCTCAGTTGTCAAGAATGTGTTATCTCTTGATGTGTGCCCATCCCATGGAAGAAAAGTAATGTGATTAAGCAATACATACATAGGATCTTGCAGTGGGCAGTGTGCTTAATAATTAATTTGGCTGAGAAAAGAAAGCAGAGGAAGGAAGGTAAGAGTCTTGCCCCATCAGATTCTGATTGAATCACAGAAATGTAAATCCAGAGTAATTCAGTCAAGGCAGCTAGCAGTCTGACTGCATGCCACTGATGCAAGGTAAATAATTCATCCTTAAGTGTGTTTATTGGTTGATTTGGAGTGAGAGAGTGAGGCAGGAATACTTGGCTCTGCTGTTGCGTGAGCAATCCCTAAAAACAAAATTATCAGGTAATTTGGTTCATTTAAATACTGCTTCTCTACAGAGAGGAAAATTATCTTTGCGTTTTGGCTCACACGCAGCAATTCCACATGTATTTATTCTGCCCTAATGTACTTCTGGAAAGTAAGTGTTCCATGCTACTTGGGGCATGCTCCTCAGCTGATCTGATGATTGAGATGTGCCCTTCAGAAACAACATTTACTTGTTAATTAGACTGCTGCTACACCAGAACAAGAAATAGGAGCGGGACAATTTGCAGGTGGCTGTATGAGGAACCTACGGCGCTTGCTTTCTCTGAGCAGCTTGCTCTGCTGGGTGTTCTCTAAGAACAGTTTTTATCACGTGTGTTTTGCCTGCCAGTTTTGCCATATTTGTTTAGAAATAGGTGTATCTTCTCCTTTGGGAAATATTCTTTTGTTGCTTTCTTTAGTTTTTGAATAGTGTTTTCACGAGTGTTACAAGCTTTGTCCGCTAATGCTGTTACACAGAGGAATGTAAAGATTAGAATGGAAAGGTCGTCTTCAGCCAGATGTTCATGAGGAGATAATGCCTCTGTCTTCAGAGGGCTGTCTTTTGGGGTTTCACTGATCCTCTGACTGCATGGAGAGTTGAGATGGAGCAGTGGGCACTTGACTGGGGACAGAGTCCTACAGGGCCTTGTCGCAAAGATGAGGGAAAAAATGAGCAATAGAGAGCCATGATACCATCTCACTTGAAAATAGGGTATCTCAGGAGCAAGGTTAGTCAGATATTTTCCCCACTGCCTAGTATCATTGGATGAGAGCAGAGGATCTTGTCTGTCAGGAATACTGCATGGTATTTCCAGGTTTCTTTAGAGAGTGAGACTAGGGTGGTCAGAGTGGTGGGCAGCAGGAAGTTAGGAGCACTAAGTTTGATGTCTTGGTCTGTTGTGGCTGTCTGTTATCTTGGGCAAGGCTGTTTCCCTCTCTCTGCCTGTCTTTCTTCCTATGTAACATAATGCTAATGTCCCCTTGCTGCATCGGGGGTCCTTAGTGTTGAGCTGGGGTGGAGGGACAGGCAGGGTCCAAAAGTTCCACCGTTTGTGGAATCAGACTGTGTGAGACAGTGAAAAATGGTTTTCAGCTTTATTTGCCTGCACAGGCTTCATCATTTATGCCATGTACTTGGGTGGATGATAATTGGGGAATTTTGGAGGTGTTTTTATGGGTTTGTAGGCAGTCCTTTTTTTGCATGGAGGACTGTTGGACCAGGGGTGTTTGAGATGGACCCAAGCCTGTGGGAATAGCAGACACTTTTTTCCCCTGAAAAGAATGTTTTGATTTCGGCACATATCTCAAAAGTGGGGGGAAGTTGCTGAAGCAAAATAGGGGAGATTAAGGAACTGTCACGGTGTCAGACTGAGTCAGTTCCATGTTGGAGTCTCTTTGGGTTTAATGTTCTTTTTGTGTCTGTCTGTCTTCCTTCTCCTCCATTCCTCTTCCCTTTCCCCTTCCTCTTCCCCCCTGTGCCCAGCTAGGATGGAAGAATCTCATTTCAACTCCTCCCCCTACTTCTGGCCAGCGGTGCCCACCGTCTCAGGACAGGTAAGATCTTTTTCTTCCAACCTATTCTGCTGGCCTTGCCTCCTCTTAGAAGTTCATGCATTATAAGTGTTCCTGTTGCATTTCTGCTCAGCCAGCTGCTGACTGCTGGGAGAAGCTGTGTCGGGGTATTCTAAAAGCAGTTCTTCCCACCTGTTTAGATTGAGAACACCATGTTTATTAACAAGATGAAGGAGCAGCTATTGCCCACAGAGAAGGGCTGCAGCCTGGCTCCTCCCCACTACCCTGCCTTGCTGACAGTACCCACCTCTGTGGCCCTCCCCACTGGTATCTCCATGGACTCGGACACCAAGCCGGAGCAGCTGACACCACACAGCCAGGCCCCCGTGACTCAGAACATCACCGTGGTACCAGTGCAGTCTGCTGGGCTCATGACAGCAGGTAGGGGACTCCAAAGGCTCTGGCAACATAGAAAGGCGACTGGGCTGGGAGGACACAGGGTCCTGGAGAATCCTTTTTGGGCTGTAGATTATGCTTGGCCTTACTGATGGTGTGGACTGCCTTGGCGTTGTTTCACTTCATACATCCACCCTCTTCCAGAAGTGGGGACTGGGAATGTGTTGGGGAGGGTGAACTATTCTGCTTGCATTGTAGTCAAAGGAGGTGTGGAAAGCTCGCTTCTGTGGGGTGAGGAGGTTGGACATAATTAGACATGTAATGATGGACTTCCTCCATCTCTCTGTGTTTGCAGGTCCTGGTCTGGTAATAACTTCCCCGTCAGGTTCCCTGGTGACTACAGCTGCCTCTGCCCAAACCTTTCCCATCTCGGCTCCCATGATTGTCTCTGCGCTACCCCCTGGCTCCCAGGCAGCCCTCCAGGTGGTTCCTGACCTGTCCAAGAAAGGGACGACCACCCTCTCTGAAGGTGGTGGGGGTGGCGGGGGTGGGGGAGTTGCCCCCAAACCTCCCCGGGGCCGAAAGAAGAAGCGATTGCAGGAGTCGGGGCTGCCAGAGATGAGCGACCCCTTTGTGCTGTCAAACGAGGATGATGAGGACCAGCACAAGGATGGCAAGACATACAGGTGGGGAGTGGGGCCAAACCTTGCATGGGGATGGGGATGTGCTTAACCCTTCAGAGGGTCACCTGGGCAAGAAGAGATCTCTGCTTTTTCCCTGTAGAGTCCCTGAGTAGAGAATCTTTCAGCTGTAGGATTTGAGTTTTCTTTCTAAACAGGAATGTTTGCAAGGTGGTGTCTTGACCCAAAACTAAGGATCTCCTCCTTAGTGGACGGCCTTGATTTCCCAAATATACAGATGTTAATGTTACTAGGCTAGTTAATGACCAGGATGTTATGGAAGCTCAGCCATTCCCTTCATGCCACAGCCAGTTAGGGTGGCTGGTGTACTGCAGAATGCAGTGCTGGCTGGGGCAGCTGAGAGCCCTAGTGCACCTTGGTGCTCCTGAACTGGGGCTCCAGTCTGTCCAATGTATAGACTACAGACTGGAGGCACACAGATTGGGAACTGAACCATGGTGGTAGTGTCTGCTCCTGTGTGCATTGCCCCCTGTGATCTCCTATTTCAGCATTGCCAACAAAACTGAAAAAAATAAAAAAGTGTATATCTGAATTAGGTAAAAGGGTGTTTCTGAGCCCTAAGGGTATCAGATGAGAAGGGGGAGAGTTCTGAGCCCTGAGGTTGGATTTCTGAGCTTGGAGGGATGTGGCTTGAATTTAAAAGTTAGTGGTGGGAAGAGGAGAGATTACCTAGGAGGGAATACTTAAACCAGAGGATAAGGGGGGGGGGGTTGTTTTGAGAAAGTGGGAACCAAACAGAGCAGGCAGATGCTAGGGAGGAAATGTGATGTGCATTCCTGGTGCCAAGCTAAGACAGACCATGGGTGGTGTAGTGATAGGTGGCTCTGAGGGTGATTAAGATCAATAAGAGGCAGAGCAGAAGTCAGATGGAAACAGAAACAGAAGATGGTCCCTAGTTCTTCTCACTTCCCTACGACGTGCCCGTGGTCCTGTCTCAAATGGTTTCCCTTCCACCATCCCAGACCCTCTTTTTTTATGGACAGATTTAGTTACTAAGTTTCTGGATTAAGTCATAATAATATGGAGGCATCTACACAGAATCAGTGCATCCACCCCAGGCACTGTTTAATTTTTAACTATAGCATTTTAAAATTGTTTACATTTTTAAATCAATACAGTTAAATGGGTACAAAACCAGAGCTTGGATCAGCCTTTTTGTTTTATTACCCAATGTCACAGTTCTTCCACTTTGAAAATACAATCAGCGTATGGTGAAGAGGGGTGGGAGTGTTAGGTAGTTTGCTATTTGTAATCCCACCATTTATTTTGGGCCTTAGCCACAATTCCACACTACTCAAGCTGCTTACAGTCTGGGTTGCTAATTAAGTTGTTAAATATGTATTTACAAGGGACACAATTGGCAGTAAACACTAGAATTAAAGCTGAACCAAAGCTTTAATTATAGCTCCTTGTTTACTTGTAAGTTTAAAAAAAAAAAAATGCCCAAAACCAGGTGGAGTGACTCAGCAGAAACTTCAGGAACACAGAGTCTGTGTAACAGCTCATGAAAAAGACTTTGCAGGGAAAAACCAAATGAGTTTGTGTGTGGGAACATATAATCAGGAAAGTTTCCTGTCCTCATACTCAGTCTGAGTGTGGTACCTCTGCCTCTTCCTCCGTGCCCCTTCCCAAGCAGGCCTTCCTCTGAGCAGTGTTAAGATGAGAGATAGCTAACTGGATTTATTGGAGACCACCAAAGAGTACTTCTGCCCTCCTTGGGATCTCCTCTTTGGGTGATGCTTTCTATGTGCAAGTTTGGGACTAAAAGTGATTGTTGAAAAGTAAAGGAGAATGCTGTCTTCTCTTGAAGCTGTGGGAGAGAAAACCTTTGTGAAATACAGTAAAGTTGTTTCTCCATATGCATATAAATGCATATAAATAGAGTTGCAGGTTAAAACTTTGAGGACTCCTGGGTTCCTTCTGTATTCTAGAGGATTTTTTGGGTAGTTCCCGTTCCTATGGTACACAGATACATTCTAGCTAAACTAAGGCTGTGGGTGAGGTTCATCTCCTCCTGCTACCTTCTCAGGCTGGAGGAGGAGTTGTCTGTGGTATTCATATGTCTGTGCTTGCATGATTTCACTGAATCTTAGGAGGATACACTGAGGACAGTCTAGTCACATACCTGAAAGGACTTGTACTGTATTGATCAATATGACTTTTTTTTTTCCATAATACCCAATTCCTAAAGCCTAGGATTATTTTGTCAAATTTCATTTTTTGGTTTTGAGTTTCTTCTTGAGCTCTGTGAGCTCTCTTGTCCTGAGTGCCAGGGCAAGTGGCTAATTTCCATGGTTCCTTACTCCTAGTGTGTTGGTGAAGACAGAGTAAGTTGAATGGGCAGCACATCAGGGCAGACCTGGAAAGAGTTGGAGCACAAAGCTGATACAGGAATTGCAGCTCATGCTGTTCTCTACTGCTTGTAGAGATTCCAGCTCCAGGAAACAGCATCTGTTTTGCTGCTGCCTCAGCTCCAGAAGTGAATTAGTAGTCTTGTGTGAACATGGTGCAAGAATTGTTGTGACTAGGTTTTTTGTTGTAAGAAAAGGTATGAGGCTTTTGCTACTGATGGTATTGCTTGCAGGTCTTGGGCATCTAGCCTTAGGATTAGTCTGGCAGATTCCCTGGTACTTTGCTTTGTGCTATTAGAAGAACACATGCACCTTCAGGGGACAGCATCTTACCCAGTCCTGTGAAGCATTTTTCTTTATAAGCAATGTCACTTCAGTCTTGTCTGGATTTGTTGTCAGGTCTTTGTTAATCTTCCCTGACATCTTTGTAGAATGTACTTTTCCTGTGGGAAATCATAGGACGGTTTGGGTTGGAAGGGACCTTAAAGATCATCTAGTTCCAACCCCCTTGCCATGGGCAGGGACTCTTCCCACTAGACCAGCTTGCTCAAAGTCCTGTCCAACCTGGTCTTAACCACATCCAGTGATGGAGCATCCACACCCCCCCTGGGCAGCCTGTTCCAGTGTCTCACCAGTCACAGTGAAGAACTTCTTCCTTACATGTAATCTAAATCTACCCTCTTCCAGTTTGAAGCTATTACTCCTCGTCCTGTCACTACAAGCCCTTGCAGAAGGTCCCTCCCCATCTTTCTTGCAGGCCCCCTTTAGACACTGGAAGGCTGCAATATGGTCTCCCCAGAGACTTCTCCAGGCTGAACAACTCCACCTCTCTCAGCAAGCCCTTGTAGGAGAGGTGCTTCAGCCCTCTGATCATCTTTGAGGCCCTCCTCTGGACCTGCTCCAACAGGTCCATGTCCTTTTTGTGTTGGGGGCTCCAGAACTGGATGCAGTACTCCAGGTGGGGTCTCACCAGAGCAGAGTAGAGGGGGAGAATCACCTCCCTTGACCTGCTGGCCACACTTCTTTTCAGGTAGCCCAGGATATAGTTGGCTTTCTGGGCTGCACTCGCACCTTGTTGGCTCCTGTTGAGCTTTTCCTCAACCAGCACCCCCAAGTGTTTTACCTCAGGGCTGCTCTCAGTCCATACTCTTCCCAGCCTGTATTGGTGCCCGGGATTGCCCCGACCCAGATGCAGGCCCTTGCAC